AAAAAAGACACAGGCTCTTCCTCCACCTCCTGTACAGACAAGCAGAACTAACAAGCAAAGAAAAATGGAAAAAGTGAAAGCAGCATCATTCAAAACCTAGCCCACTTTGAAATAAAACCATTGTGAAAATATGGCACAAACTAATACTTGATGGTCTGGGGAACAGAAAGGGCTGACAAAGATGGATCTGATCCATCCTCTAGTCCTCAAACTGGTTTAGCCCTGTTGATCCTTACAGATGCATTTCTAATATCCTTTAAAATATCCAGTGATAGAGTACTTAAAAATATATCGAGCCTCTTTCATCTCTCTGATTATACCACAAGTAAGCAGCAAGCAAATATGTTGCATATACAAAAATACCCCAAAAATTTCCTCACTAGCTAAGAATTCTTAGTGCCAGAAAAAACATGATGTGGCTCATCACTCATCACAACAAAGACAGCATGGGAATTTTGCAGCACGTTCCTTCATCCCTTTTCATGTAGGCTGAGAAGGATGGTGGGCATTTTAAAGCAAGAGAGAGCACACCTCAGTCTGTGTGGAACAGAATGTAGGCACTGATGTTAGGGGACATGAAGATGGAAACCTTAACCACTGTCTTCCTGGAACCTCCTGAGAGCTCTCTCAGTTTCATGAGACAAAGCAAACTGCAAGATAAAGAGCACTCCAAGGTGTAAGTGCTTCGGCTGGAGGAACTGTGGACTGCCAGGCCCTGTTGAGAACTTTCTTCTTTTACCTAGTATTTGGTAGAAAACGTATTTGTTAAAACACGTATTTGTTAAGATGAAGAAGGAAAAAGAACATATCAAGGGTTTGAATGTTGCCAAAAAGATGGACTCTCAGAAACATAAAGATAATAACTGAGATTTTATTAATAAGAGATGATTTCAGAACTTATACTTTTTTTCTTAGAATTGTTGCCTAAACATATTGTTGCCTTTCCTTTATGTCTAGCTGAGAAAATTCTTTGCACTGCGTATGCCTCCAGGCCTACCTCTGCAGTGGGCCTTGCTGCCAGAAAAATGCCTTCTGACCCTAGAAAATACATAGAGGAACCCACAGTACCTCAATGTTTAAAATATTTTATAATACAGATATTTTAACTTTTGTACCAGCATTCATCTGTTCTTCAATGGCCAAGCAAGGATTGGTGCAGTTTTCAGTTCTGAAACACCTGTATGTTTGGCTGTCTTCTGTACAAGGAAGGAGACATGGTCTGTCAGGCAGTCTATGTGTGTGTGGCTCTTTGACAGCCAGTCTAAGCCACAAAGAACCATCCTCCTATCTACTGGCCTAATATAACAAGATTCTAGCAGTATCTTACCAAACACTAAGATAACCTACCACCTATGATCTGCAGGCAGATCCCAGTATATCTTCTGCAAACCAAAAAGCGTAGGCACCAATTTAGGTATCTTCTTCTCTTTCTTCAGACATTAGAGACCACACAGGATGTAAGACATGACAGCAGTGGCCAACTGGATTGGTGTGCCTCAGGGTGACTTCAGACACAGATGATGCAAAAGACTTAGAGAGATTTAACACCCTGTAAAAGTCTAGAAAACACTGACAAACTGCTGGATCTTCCTTCCCAGCTGCAAACAGAGAAGCAGTATATTGTCAGGAGAGTACAAATGTGCTGGACAGACTTGAATCAATATATTAAACAAAAGCCTGTATTATGGACCAGAAGACTTGTTGGGAGAGCTGGGAGCTGCTACCAGTAATGCCAGTGGCAGCTGTCAGTGTTTGTCCCAGAGCAGTGTTTGGTTCTCAGCATCCAGATGTTGGAAAGAAACTCTCCCCATTAACCCCAGCGCTATACGACCGCAGCAGATCTCAGTGGCAAGCTCTGCTGCTGGTGGTATCTTTGTGATAGTCCCCCACCAGCTGTGATTTATAACCAATCAATAGCTCTTGTTATGAGACAGATGGGCCCATTACAATGTGACCTGCTCAGAGTCTGGCTCTTAACTCTTAACCTCGGCTGATATAAATTATTCACCAAAATTCTGTGTTGAACATTGGCGCAACCTTGTATTTCTTTCCGTACCATTAACAAATGTCACATATTTGTCAGTGGCACAGATTATCTCATCCACCTCACCACAGTAGATGCCACGTTTGTCAAATGTGTTGTTAAAGAAACAGCAGAATGGTTCTTTACCAAAATCCACTGCTCTAGAACATATGGATCCATGAATGAAAATTGAGGCCATGTTGCTGAGAACACAGCTGCATTAGGCAGGGCACGTCTCAAGGATGAAGGACCACCGCCTCCCCAAGATCCTGCTTTATGGTGAACTTGCCACCGGCTGCCGCAAGAGAGGAGCCCCAAAGAGAAGATACAAGGACTCCCTGAAACAACATCTCAGCCTTGGCCATATTGATCAATATAACTGGTTTACTCTGGCCTCCAATCAGGAGGTCTGGAGACACACCATCTATAACACTGCTGATGCCTTTGAGAAAGCATGCAGGATCACCCTTGACGAGAAAAGACAATGCAGAAAGAATCGTGCCTTGCAGAATACACCATCTAAGGAGTCTTTCTGCTGTGCCTTTTGCAACTGATCATGCCTGTCTTGTATTAGCCTTTTTAGCCACCAATGCGCTTGCAACAAATGTGGGTAGAGCCCTTCCCAAATCTTCGTTGGCGAAGCCCAGCCATGAATGAATGAATGAGAACATATGGGTAAGTGAAGAAAAACAAAAATTACTTTGAGCGTGTTTCTGCCAGTATTTTCTTATAACAATTAATAACACCTTCATGATTTCCTCTCAGTATCCCCACAGCTTGGAACCCAGATATGAACCTAGATGGTCTATGTGCTCACAGCCACCAAGACAGGTTGGACAACCCATACCTGAGATCTGCAGACCCAGAGCTTAATAAAATCTGGTTACTAGTTTTTCAGACTAGGAATCATGTTAAATAAAAACAGAGGTAAGAAGTAAGAGAGAGGGAGAAGAAAGAGAAAGCAATGTTCTGAGAAATGGACCATCTTTCAAGCATTTTTTAATGAAACACTGTCAAATATACAGACCTGCACACAGTAGTTTTAGTCCCCAATTCAATCATACTTTTGCTAGGCATAGAAACTGCTGGACTTCTAGTTTTGGGGAATATTCTGATGCTTGGGATTCAGTAAACTGACAATCAAAATTATATCAGCCACACTAAAATATATGCAGGTTTCTCATTGAAGGGGGACTTAAAAAAAAAAAAAAAGTCAGCTAAACTGATAGTTTCGTTTTAGAAGCAATGATTCTCCATCCTTGCCTTTCATCTGGAACTACTTCGACTCCTGTACGTTCACTCAGTCCTGTCCTTGCTATCTGTTTCCATAATAGTCTTGGCAACCATGGTTCTGGTCTTATATCGTTCTTCATCCACAAGAATCTCAAAGATAGTACAGAAACACATCCTTAACAGTAGTATGGAATAAACAACAAGGTACCTTTTCAGGGCTTACTAGGGTTTGCTGAACTTTTATCACCTGACCAGTAATTTTCCAGAGAAGCAGCTACAGACCACAACTATGAGACATTTGTACTGGATTTCCCTTATAAAGCAGATGAGGAATTCCTCTCGGAAATGTGTAACCAGCCCTGTCTTTTATATTGGATCTGCAAAGGAGCCAGAGTCCAAGAGTAAATGTGAAGACAGTGTTTTCATACTGTCTTTTACACATTCAAGTAACAAGTATTTAATCTTCTGTAAAGACAGATGAGACCTAAGCAGCAATACATAATGAACGAAAAGTGATATAGCATTTAAGTGATTCCTGCAACCCGTAGTTCACTCAGGATGTAGGGACTTCATTATGATAGCCATAAGGGACTAAGAATGTAATATATTTAAGAAGTAGTAATATGTTGTGTAAGCAATTGATAAAGCTGAAAAAACCAGACATACTTGGGACATACAAGCTCTTCCTTACATCTAGGACTCTTCTGGACACTTTAATCCCACACGTTTTATCTTTATAAACAAAGAGTAGGGATACTGCTGAGCAAATCCATTTGCTGAAGAGAACAAAATGTGAGAAACTACTGAAAGTGAGTAAGCAGGAGGCCTGTTTATCACCGAATGCAGCATCTCAGAGCTAGAAAACTGAAAAGACAAGAAAAGGCTTACATGATGTATAGCCACAGCTTTTTTGCCCATGAATCTGCCATGTCCTGTAATTTCAAGTGATGGAGTACAAGCTAAAGACTACATGATGGAGTTCTCCAACATTGGTCCTATTCACTCCTCACCTAAACTGACATGGAACCATCGATTTTGATTAAGATATTCCTGATCTATGGCAAAGAAAAGGAAACACCCTGCTTTTGTTTTCCAGATGCAGTGCAGTAGCCCATTTTTATGTGAGAGAAAACTTGAAGAGCACTTACTGAAATTTGGACACTAATGAAACTTAAAACTCATTTCCAGTCCTTGAGTATAATGAAAATCAAAGAATCAGATGTTACAACAATTTATTCTAAATATCCTCAAAGTTAGGAATCAAATTTGAAATGATCAAATCTTCCAAAAATCAAATCTATTCTTTGCATGGTCCTCAGTTTTATCAAATAATTGGGATCATCAAGAAGAATCCTATCCCCTCCCTGGGAACTGATGATGGTGTTTGGAGAAATGCAAATTCCTCCACTGTTTCGGACACTGTGACCTTTATTGATTTCTGATCTTCTAAAACCTTCCCAATAAGGTGTGGATTTCTGGCAGAGACTTTCAGTCTAAAAACAATAAATTTGTTTTCCACATGTTGAAAGCACTGCTTTAGATATATGGAGCAATAAAAATATATTTTAAAAATAGCAACAAAAATATTTTCAGTGCAAGCCAAAGTGATGCTGTACATTTACTTGCTTGCTGATGGTTTTCTAGACTGAACCCCAAAAATTCATCTGAGACAGACCATGCTTTCAGGCTGCAGAAGGCTTTGAAAATTCAGTGCTGAAATATTTTCTGTTTATGTTTTGGCTAGCATTTCACCAGGTCGGACATTCTTCTTCAGTTCATTGACGCAGATCCAGAAATGTCATTAGGAAAAAAAGCTTAAGTGGATTCTTCCTAGGCCTGACTGACCACAGAGCCTGAGAAGAGGTCGCCTTCACTTCCTCTGCCACTAGCTCCAGCTAAAACTCTACTCTGATGTTTCGGAAGACATAGGGACAAAGCTTGCCTAAAGTCAGACTGGGAATATCTGTTGATTTTAATAAAGTTTTGACAAGTCAACCTCGAAGGGAACCTACTCCTGTGCCCTCTGAACACTTGAATTCATGCTGTAACTCCATCAATACCAACAAAATAAATAGCCTCCTAAAGTCTATTATAACCATTATGGCTACTTAGATTAAAGGAGTACAGTAATATTTGTTTGTACAGGTAATCAGTGCAGCAGTCCTTACTAATGTTTCCTGAGTAGCTGTTGCACTGGAGTGTTAATAACAATTTTTTCAATTATCAGCAATTGTTTTGAAAAAAAGCCGCAAAGTAAACAACATAAATACTCCTTTGGTAATCAAACCAAAGATGAAAAGGAAAAAGTAATGGTCATCATTCTATCAAGTGTTAATATTCAACTTAAAGCTTAAAAAAACCTGCTTGAATGATGCTATTTGTGCAGTCTTTTTCTGAAAACAAATAAAAAAACCCTTTTAAAATAGCTGAAGTTATTATTTTGAGCTGTAACACTTATTTTTAACACACTTTTCATCTCCAGAGCACTGAGCCAGAGCATGGACCTTTGCTGATCACACCAGCAAAGGAACTGATATTGGTCATGATTTCTGTGATGTGCTAAAAACATTTTGGAGGACAGGACCCTGTTACTACTTTTCCCACCAAACACAATACAACTTTCAGGTAGCTAGATCTGGTCATGCTGGTTTTGACAGGCAGGGAACCTGGTGTAGGTAATTTTAAAAATATGCCCAAGGTGGCAGGGAAGCTGTGGCTGGTAGTGGTAATCAGGAAATCCTGGTTCTGGTTCAGGGATGGTAGCCCTAGCCATTATCCTGCTCAACACTTCAGTAGTGTGACTGCTACAAACAAATCATTCTGTTCTTGCACACACCAGTCCTGGTGCTACAAAATACTTAACGCGTTATTAAGCAAAACATATTTCAAGCCTGTCATTGATTCAGGGCCTACAGTCTTGCAAGCATTACATCATTTATCTTCCTTGTAAGTGGGGAAAATTCCTGGACTCTATTTTCTCTCCATAGAAACTACAGAAGAGAAGCCAATGTAATTAATTAAAAGCACTGGTGTCATGTGGACAAGAACAGGGCACATATTCAGCCCTTTCTTTAGCCATTCAGACTAATGGCAAATATGCCTGTATGTGGACCACATGACTGGGTCCAAAGGATGGATTTAATATATCTGCAGACCAATCATTTTCCCAAGGGAATTGTCAATTACCAGAGTGAAACAGAAAGGATGCTGATTACCTGGGCTAAACTCTGCTCTTTTTTGTGTCAGAACAATATCCCTGATTGCACTTGCTTCTATGCGACGGGGTTGAGTTTGGCTCTGTCTACTCAGTTCCCTGGGTTGTCTTGGAACCACAGAAACAGTGCTTTGAGACGGACAAATAGCTACTTGGACAATTGCTAATGGCAGGCAAATCCACAGTTCTTCAGACATTAAGGCTTTGTAAATACTGAAAGAAAATAAATCTGTGTTGTATTTTTTTGGCGTACAATGCCTAAAGCCTTATCTCTCATTCTGTCAAGAACCAAGAACTATGTATACAGATGGTGCAATTTATTATGTTCTGTACTGTGACCAAGTGCTGAAATACCTTCAGGAAATCACCAGAAAGCCTGAAAAGCTTTGCTGTCTCTTGTGACTCCAGCTCACTAAAACTATAATTGAATGAGCACAATATATTAAGCCCTGTGTATTACACAGTAGGCTTACAGAAAAGGACACCATCTTTTTCAGCATCATTACAGAAAATATATTTGCTGTACAATTACTGCCCACAGTGTCTCTACCTCTCAGTATTCTGCCCTTACAAAACCACAAGGAGGGATTTACAATAAATGTCTAGGTTCAATGAGTCTACCTCAACTCAGGTGTAACACCATTACATTCCAGTATGCTGTTCTCATTTGTAAGATGCTGCTGGGCCTTATAGTCCTGACATTTAAACCAGCACCTGTTGGGGCTGAAATGAATGGAGATGGCAGTGTAACAGTGGTATGAAAAGAAAATTTTAGCTGTGTATCAGCTGAGAAATTAATGTATTTCCATTCCCACTTCTCTGAGCAGATTTTTATGAAACTGATTATTAAACTTGACTCAGTGGGTGCAAGAAATACAAAGAAAAACTAAATTCAGTATCCTCAAACCTATTCATCTCAGGATACGAAATATAAACCCTGTGTCCAATATTTTGTTCAAACCCATGTGCTTACTGCATTCGAAACATTGAAAACAGGACTCCTGTGCCATTGACCCAACAACAGACGTTTGATGGTCATTCTGATACCCACAAAGCCCAACTTCCAGCAACGGCCACCATTCACACAGCAGTTGTTTTGCTCGTTTACTGCTTCACTGAAAGCAAAAACCACCTTCATTCTTGATTGTCTACTGTTTCCTTCTTGTGGGGAAGCCGGGTTGCGGTGCCTTGCTATTGTGGGGGGGGGGGCGGGGAGCGGGGAAGGGGAAGGTGGTCTATCCACTTCCCCGCGAGCACTGTTACACATTTCCGCGTGCTTTCTCAGAACATAGAAACACAAATGCCATGAAGCGTCTTCCCTATTACATCCCAGAGACACTGGGCTGACCCAGCCCCAGCTCCTGCCTGTCGCAGGACAAGCCCTTGTATCACTCGTGAGCGAAGGGGGGAACACCAACAACCAGCAACCCCAAAACCACCTGTCCGCAATTCTGGATGAGGCTCCTCCAGGACTGGGGGTGCCGGTTGATTCCGCGCTTTCCCCTTGGCTCGGTCCCGCTCTCGGCTGCGGGGAGGGCGCGGTGGGCGGGTGCGGCGCTTCCCGGCTGCCGGAGGTGCCCGAGCTTCCCGGGGGCCGCCCCCGCCTGGGCTGAGCGGAGGGCAGCCGCCGGGAGGAGCCCGGGCGGGGAGGGAGAGACGAGGGGAGCCGTGCGCGGAAGGGACTGCCTTGATGGGCTTGAAAAATCACTGCAGCAGCAGCGGCGGCGCCGGCGGACAGGGGGGAGATGCAATCCCCGGGCTGCGCGGCCGCGCCGCTCCCCTCGCCTCGCCTCTCCCCTCAGGCTCCGGCCCCGGCCCTGCCCCTTTTCCCCTGCGCCCGGCTCCAAACTTTTTCCGCCGCCCGCTCACCCCCTCGGGTGTGAGGGAGCCCCGGGCTCAGCGGTGAGCGCCGGCCGGGGAGCCCCCGGCACGGGCAGGCTGCCGGCGGCTACGGCCAGAGCATCCCGTGGAGGGGGAGCCGGCGGGGCGGGCGGGGAGGGAGGTGGGCAGGGCGGGGGTGGAGGCGCGTCTCCCTGCTGAGGGAGCTGGGACTTGAAGGGCTCTGGGTTTTCCCGACCACTCTTTCCCCTCCCCACCCGCCCATCTCCCTGCCTCCCTCCCCCCCCTCCTTCCCTCCCGCCTTCCCTCCCTCCCCTCCAGAATTAAAGTTGGGACAGTCGCGCTCCGGGCATGGGTGCGAGCCAACGCCTCTGCCGCCGGCTCGCTCTGCTCCCTCCCCAGGTCGCCCGGAGCCCGCGCCCCCGCCCACCCGCCCAGGAGGGATGCTGCTCCGGCAGCTGCTGGGGCTGCTCCGCTGCTGCTGGCCCTCCCTGCTGCTACACTGTGCCCTCCACCCGCTCTGGGGGTCCCTCCAGGTAGGGTCGCCCTAGCCCGCTCGCAGCTGCGGGGCGACGGGGGCGGCGGGCCGGGGCCGGGGCGGGGGCAGAGCGGGGGCGCGGGCAGAGCCCCTCCGGCACCCCCGGCACTGCGGGAGGAGGCCGTGGCGGCCCCCGATCGGGGTGAGCTGTTGCTCTCAGGGGCGCGGGCCCCGCTCGCTGGGCGCTGCGGGACGGCGAGTGTGCGGGACGGGCGGCCGGGGACAGCCCCGAAGCGCCGAACTCGGTCCGAGAGCGGTCGGTCCGAGCAGGATGGAGTTGACTTTCTTCGGCGCGCTGGCGGCCGGAGGGATGGAAAGCGCATTTTGCTGTAGGTGGCAAGATGCACGGAAAGAGGCAGTGGCGGAGCGGAGACCCGGCGGTCATGCCTTGCCGTGGGTTTTCGGTGTTGATTGCGAATTGAGGATTCTGTGGGTTAAGGGCTGAATCAGCTTTTGCCAACTCCGACGCGGTGGTGTTTTGTGACCTTGATTGTAATGTGAGGTGACCAGCAAGAGAGACTGGGAGAAACTGGTATACAGTGAGGGAGAGCGCCCATCCAGTTTGGAGACTCAGAACAGCAGCAAAGCTCAAACTCAAATGCGTCACTTCGATATTTTAAAGTTTATTTATCATATATGTCTTCAGAGAAGTGATGATGGGCCAGCCAAGTGCCGTTCAAGAACTGACCAATTACAGTTTCTTTCTTGGAGAAAATATAGTGGAGACTCCACATCTTTTACTCCCTGATCTAAACTTAGTGACTCCCAAGAGATTAAAGAGAGATGTTGTTTGTTTTAGCATCTTGTCTCTTGCCATGAATGACAAAGAGGATTTGTGCTCCTTACGAATTAAAATGAACAGAAATACAACAAAAACAACCCAATTCCCCTGTCATAGAAATCCCTGCCAGTGCTACCTTCCTGCTGTCCTGCTTAAGTATTCAGGTAGCTGAGCTTAAGTTAAAACTATAACTGCGTTTTTCAGGGAAGCATAGTTGGGTGAAAAGAGATGCCTCGTGCAACCTCTCTCCTGTAGTCAGTCAGTCAATCAAATAGAAAAAAAAACTTGCATAAACATCTTTCTGGCAAACTACTCAAATAATCTAAGATAATCTTTCAAAAATAATTATGTTTATAAAAATTGAAACAGGCTCTCAGAAATGCAAAAGCCAAGGAGCGCAAGCTTTCCTTGCTGTAATTTGGAAGTTTTGTTGTCCCATTCATCAACTGTACTTCTGCTATTGCCTGCTGTTCTGTCAAAGAGCAAGCGATAAAGCTGCTCAAGCTTTTGTCCAGTTCTTCCAAAACTAGGCTTAATCTAGGGCTCCTATCAGCAGGTACCAATGGGAAGGGCAGGTGTGGAATCCTCACCTGCATGCCAGCCTTCCGTCCTTCCTGTGACTGAAACTCCTTCATCTTTGAACCCCTCCCATGACTCCCTTCCCCATGTTGAGTCATAATCCTTGCTGTTTATCTTCAAAGTCTCACAAGCCATGTTCTCCTTGACTAATTCTGTAATGTCGCATCGTGTCGCTCCCCTGCCCCTGCTCCATCTATAGCAGCCGTCATGTTTTCTCACGTCTCTTCTCCCAGCCCCTTTTCACCCATTCGTCTGTGCAATGACTTATGTGTGGCATTGCCTTCCCTCCCACCTCTTTGCATTCCCTCCCTAGGCCCTGCCTTGTGACACTTAAGGGAATCAGTCAGATGCTAATCAAAGGAGAAGCATTTATTTTATTAAAAGCAAAACCAAAACAAACCTCACAATTTTTTCTCATTAGCCTCATAGCCAGCTCTGTGACAAGAAGGATGGGATGATTCTGTCTGATGCTTTTGACATAATTTAAAAAACAGAGCAGTAAGGGTCATGATAAATAGCAGGGTCACATTTTTTCTGGTTTCATAAACATGGATCTGGATTAACTCTGATGTGAATTACACAGAGCTGTCCTGGGATTTATGCAGTAGTGTTGAGATCTCATCTCTGTAGGCTGCTTCCAAGAGACAAAGCTCTTGCTACATCAGGAGGCTTTTAGAGGTCCCTGTGCCTTTTCAGTCAACTGCAGTTTTCTTTTAAAGCTTTCCTCCTTTTACCCTATTAAAA